TGCAAAGCAGTGCCCCCGCCCCGCAGCACCCCAGTCCGCTCCTGCGCCTGTCACCTGGGGGCGCCTGGCACGTGGCAGCTCGGCGAGGTAGGTCCTTCGTTCCTCCCATTTCGCAGAGAAGAAAACTGCAGTCCAGGATGGCGCTGCCGGTCTGTCTAAAGTCACTCCGCTGGTTCCGGCCGAGCTCCGACTTCGAGAGGGAGGCGCATGACCCCTGCATACCAGGCCTCCAAGGGTCCCAGGCTTGAGGGCCTGTCGGCCCCCACCCCCTTGGAAAGGCCAGGAGAGGAGCCTGTGCTGGTCGTGAGCCTCCACCTGTGCCCTTGACTGCAACACCCTAGGTTAGGACCCCGCCCACAGTTTTTGGGTAGGGGTGGGCTTCTCTCCCTCCTTTAACTTCTGAGGTTCCCTCTTGGATCCAGGTACTGCTGTCCCCTTCCAGCCCCATCTCCCTGCCCGTGAGGTTGGGATGTAGGGGTCCAGACCCAGGGTAAAGAACCCTACGTTGTGGAGGTTGCAGTAAAGAATTGAGTGGGCCACTGAGGCTGGGAAGCTGGTGGAGGAGGAGTGGGTGAGGAGTGGAATGCAGAGCTGAGCAGATCCGGGAGGGAATGGTGGGTATAGTGTCCTGGGCTCGGGCTTTGTCAGGTGGGCAACGTGCAGCTCCCGTTACCAAGGTTATCACTCTTTACCCAGCCCCATTCCTTTTCCTTGGGTGTCTGGGAATTCCCGTGTCTGTTTTAGGGAAGGGGACACCGAGAGGTAGGGTACAGGTGGTGCTGGGGCTGACTCGGCGGGTGTGGTGTGGTGTGGTGGGCACGGGAGTGGGTCTGACCAATCCTGCTTTCTCACCTATGCCCACAGTGCCCCCCACCACCCCAGCTCAATCATGGCGAAGCTGGAGACACTGCCTGTGCGAGCTGACTCGGGGCGGGATCCCCTCCTGGCCTTTGCCCCACGGCCCTCTGAGCTCGGACCCCCAGATCCTCGTCTGGCCATGGGCAGTGTGGGCAGTGGAGTTGCCCATGCCCAGGAGTTCGCCATGAAGAGCGTGGGCACCCGCACAGGGGGTGGGGGCAGCCAGGGCCCTCGAGCTGGTGGCGGTGGGGCCAGCAGGGAGAGGCCAGGCCGCTACCCGTCTGAGGACAAGGCTCTCGCCAACTCCCTCTACCTCAACGGTGAGCTGCGGGGCAGTGACCACACGGATGTCTGTGGCAATGTGGTGGGCGGCAGTGGTGGCAGCAGCAGTAGCGGCGGCAGTGACAAGGCCCCACCACAGTATCGTGAGCCCAGCCACCCACCTAAGCTCCTGGCCACCTCTGGCAAGCTCGACCAGGTCAGTCCCCAGGGCCTTTTTCTGGGGATGGGAGGTAGCTCAGAGTGGAAGGTGAAGTGGACTTCCTTAGAATTTGGGTTGTGGTAGGTGCCAGGATGGAGACTGGACTTGAAGGGTGGGCCTTGGGGGCCAAATCCAGTTGGTGGGTACAGGATAAAGACGTGGCTTGGGTGGGCCATAAGGTAGACACCAGCCCTGAGTGACTCCTGGGATGGAGATCAATGAGGGTGGGAAGTGGGGAAGTCTTGTCCACAGGGAGGAGGCTGGGGTCAAGGCTAAGGCCCCATCCTGATGTCCACTCTCCCTTCTTTGCTTCTACGCAGTGCTCAGAGCCGCTAGTTCGGCCTTCAGCCTTCAAGCCTGTTGTACCCAAGAACTTCCACTCCATGCAGAACTTGTGTCCTCCACAGACCAGCGGGACCCCTGAGGGACGACAGGGCCCTGGGGGCCTCAAGGGTGGACTGGACAAGTCTCGGACCATGACCCCAGCGGGCGGGGGTGGGGGCAGCCTCTCAGACTCAGGCCGGAACTCACTCACAAGCCTGCCCACCTACAGCTCTAACTACAGCCAGCACGTGGCGCCCCTCAGTGCCTCCACCAGCCACATTAACCGCATTGGCACTGCCGGCTATGGTAGTGGCAGTGGCAGTGGCACTGGCAGTAGCGGTGGGGGGTCGGGCTACCAGGACCTGGCCACCTCTGACAGTGGGCGGGCCTCTAGCAAGAGCGGGTCCTCCTCCTCCATGGGGCGGTCCGGCCACCTGGGATCGGGAGAGGGCGGAGGTGGAGGCCTGCCGTTTTCGGCCTGCTCACCACCCTCGCCCAGTGCTCTGATCCAGGATCTAGAGGAGCGGCTGTGGGAGAAAGAGCAGGAGGTGGCCGCCCTGCGCAGGAGCCTGGAGCAGAGCGAGGTGGCGGTGGCCCAGGTCCTGGAGGAGCGGCAGAAAGCGTGG